CAACGCGTTTAATTACGTTTTCCTTATAACGGTTTTCTATGAGAGGAAAACGCTTAACGCGTAATTAAATGTGTTGCGTTCGTATTAGGGCTCATAACTGCCTGCCTGTGCATTAAATATGCTTTATTAACTCTTTCCCCGCCAGCGTTTTTGAAAAAAGTTGCAGCCACCATCAGCGTTGTTGCCGATTTTCACTAATATGGAAAAAGGCTTTTTAAAAAACAAATCTTGTTTTTTCGCAGTAAAACACATTTTGTCTTCAATTATTTTCATATTGCATATTTAAATTTTTGTTTTGAAAGTATGGTAAAAACTGGTCAAATGTACCAAAAATCACATTTAAAAAATATACACTTTTTGATATACCATAAAAAAACATGAATTAGGACATTTAGGCTATCCAGCTAATAGTAGCCTACCAAAATCTTATTAACAGTAGAAGTTCAATCTTACTGTATTCTTCAAATCTGGGTACTGTCTTACGTTTTAAAATCACAAAGAGAGTTTGGTCCCATCAGGCTAACGTGACAGTCACGACTCATGCAGCTGTAAGCTTTTCTTTCTCTTTTGTTTTTACTCGCGATCTTTACAACACGCATTACATTACGTATTTCATGGCACACTCGTTTTATGCGTATTTGGCGCCACCTATTGTTGTGGGTGTGTTATTGACATGTCAATGTCTAGACCCTGAATATAAGACGACCGCGTTTTTTCAGATGTATTTCCAAGAAAAAAACATAGTCTTATATTCGGGACAATACGGTAGGTAAACAACGTATGTACGCGGATACGTTGTTTATGTTCAGATCAAAGCGTAAACGACGTAAACCGCGTGCATACGTTGCATCCACCTTAAGCGTTTCAGAATCGCTCCGGATTCACCGTTTGCCGCTCTTCATGTAGGCGGGGATGGCTCCTCTGGCTGTCAGGCCCTCGAAGCGCTTGTAGGTGTAGTTGATGAAGACCCAGTCCTTGTTCTTGTAGTCCGACTCCGGGTGATGTTCGGTGCTCACAACGTTCGATCCGCCCGAGCTTCGCGACTCACAAGATTCGATTCGCACGAGCTTCGCGACTCACAAGATTCGATTCGCACGTGATTCGCGACTCACAAGATTCGATTCGCGCGTGATTCACGACTCACAAGATCCGATTCATATGCGATTCACGACTCACAAGATTCGATTCACGACTCACACGATTCGATTCACATGAGCTTCACGACTCACTAGATTCATATGCGATTCACGACTCACAAGATTCGATTCACGACTCATACGATTCGATTCACATGAGCTTCACGACTCACTAGATTTGATTCACATGTGATTTTCGACTCACAAGATTCTACTCAAATGCGATTCGCGACTCACAAGATTCGATTCACACGTGATTCACGACTCACAAGATCCGATTCATATGCGATTCACGACTCACAAGATTCGATTCACGACTCATACGATTCGATTCACATGAGCTTCACGACTCACTAGATTCGATTCACGACTCACACGATTCAATTCGCACAAGCTTCGTGACTTACAAGATTCGATTCGCACGAGCTTCGCGACTCACAAGATTCGATTCGCACGAGCTTCGCGACTCACAAGATTCGATTCACATGTGATTCACGACTCACACGATTCGATTCACAAGAGCTTCACGACTCACACGATTCGATTCGACTCACACGATTCGATTTACATGTGATTCGCGAACCACAAGATTCGATTCACACAAGCTTTGCGACTCACAAGATTCGATTTGACTCACAAGATTCGATTCACATGTGATTCACGACTCACACGATTCGATTCACACGAGCTTCACGACTCACACGATTCGATTCACACGAGTTTCACGACTCACACGATTCGATTCGACTCACAAGATTCGATTCACACGAGCTT